TGCATGCTTTGGAGTTTGTTTAATCTCCGCTTCAGTCTATACAATGCACAAGTCATAATGTTAACACTTTTTCTTAAAACTTCTTCATTCACGTTCACGACTAATTTGGATTTCAGTTTGCTGTTTTTAATCTTTATTTAGTCTAATTTTGTACTTCTTTTTCTGTTGTTCTGTTGCCCCCTGATTTCGCTAAGGTTTCGGTCTTTGTCTGTACCGTACTGGGGATGCTTTTCCAGCAGTTCAGTGGTTGACCAGGATAGTAACACCCAGAGAAATTTTCCCCGGTCTTATTTTAGGTTATCGATGGGAAAGGGACGAGTGGTGGGGATCCACCATATAATCTTAAGTATTCTAACAGGCATTTTTTGTTGGATCTTTGTTAGGAAAACGCTCGATGGCAGCCTTTATAAATGTGAAGCTTTTTTATTTATTTATTTATTTTAAAAAAGCACAAAACTGCTTATCTGAAATAGGCATCTAAATATTTTAACAGAGAAGGAAAAACGGTTAGGGTTATCTTAACGGTGCAGTTTGGTATTTCTGAAGTCCAGCCAAACAAACTCTCAAAGATGTCGATGATGCTTGTTAGCAAGCCGAGATCACCGAATCTTAAAGCAGAGTGGCATCGGTAGCAGGGCTGGGCTGGGGGCGGGGGGCTGCGGGCTCTTCCCAGCCGGCGCGCGGCGTGCGTTAGCGCAGCCTGCTTTAACGATCTTTTGTGAATCAAAAGACGTTTGCAGAGGGAAGTTCTAGACTTACCGTGCTTTGTGTCTCAGTACCTGATGTGTCTCTGTATATCTCCACTGTATATACAACAGCACATTGATGTCTGGTTGTCCTGACTAGTCCTAGTTCTCTCTGTATCGTGTCCGATAGTGTACTGTTGCTGGGAATGGACTTACTGTGGACACTGGTGTGTCGCTAGTCTGTTATTTTGGCTGTAAAGCTCTTGGTTTGTGGTTAGTTCTTTATTTTTTTGAAATATTTCTTTTTGTTCCGGTCACTGTCTGTGCTAGCGGTGGCTTTGCCTATCCGTTGCCTTGAAGGTACAGGTGGAGTAATGTCCCCTTTGACCGACATTACTCCTAGCGTGTGCTCATGCGGATGCCTACACTGTTAAGACTGTAATTTCCATAACTGCTTCATGTGCACTAAGCACCCTTGTGGAATCCTGCTGAGAGTTTCTTAAAGACTTCAGGGAAAAACCCCTCTGGCACGAGGTGGGAACGGCAACTGTTGAGTGCCAAAACCAGCAGGTCCTGAATTGGTGTCACCTTTGACGCCAAGCACCAGACACAGTACTTCTACAGGAGCGTTAACTTTCTGGATTGATTTTTATACTGCTGTTTAAATGCACTTCTGTCTTCTGTAGTGCAGCTTGGGAGCAAAATAAGGAGGTTTATAATTAAAAAAAAATGTTCAATTGGTCATGAAAGAGCTAATGTGAAACATGCCTCATTGGCAGATCACTTTCCGATTCTTAAATGAGAATATTTTGGCCCAGAGACACAGGCAGAACAATGCTGTCAGTCTTCTGTAGCTGAAGTCTGTGTCCGGAGGTGTTAACAACCCCCCTCATTTCTCCTGGTGTGTTGAGCCCTGTGCTCCATCGGACACACGCACAATGCCTGCTGCTATCCAAGGACTACGTTTGGCTACTTGAATCGAGTCTTGCACCTTCAGCCTCCTCCTGACCTGGTCCGTTCTAATCAAACACACAGAAAAACGGAGTATTTAGAGCTTGTAGTGTCCAGGGGGGAAGATGAGCATACGGTGTATATGCTGCTGTGTATATACCTCTAATTGCCCATCAGCAGTCAAAGAATGGCTTAAAAATATATATATATATAAAAAAAAAAAATCAATGCAAGAAAACAACCAGCAGGATTTTACAACTGAAACGTTGGTTTGTCTTCTCATCAATTTTTATGAGATTGAACCACTGGAACTTGGGGACAAGATGAGTCTGACCATATTGCAACAATCTGTCCGCTCCAGTTGCAGTCCTTCATGACAAGCATTCCAAGTGTTAACTAAAAACCATCGAAGCAACATACCTGCCATTAAAACCCGAATCCAGAAAAATAACTCCATGAATCTTTGCACTACCAAGCGGAATGGCCTTTAATGCTGTAGATAGATCGGTTTGCTGTTTGCGGTTCGGCCGGGCTCCGGTGCAAACACTGACTCTCTTTTTCTTTCCTTTCCTTGGCTTTCCCTGGACTGCATCGGAATTCTTTGCTGCAGATGATGAACCAGCTGGGCCAATGTAAGTGCCTTTTAAGAAAAAAAAAAAAAAACCCAAACCACAGTATTTGGCTCAATCTGAGGGTTTGTGGGAGTTTCCAGTAGGTAGGATTGATGTTCTGTGTGACGTCAGTGATGGTGAGGGACCCTGCGGTTGTTGGTTAGCACTGGAGTAAAGGAAAGTGATATGGGGAAGGTATATCTGGCTAGAAAAATAAATATTGCTGAAGGAGATAAAAGCAGTATTTGTGCTGAAGCCACTGGTGGTCTCCCTGACTGCCTGGTGCAGCCCACTTGATAGACTTTTTCCAAGTATCAGAAACAAACAAAAAAAGCTTCTTCAGTTGTAAAGAGGAAGCAGGAAAACTAGGAAGCGGAATGATGGGTGTAGGAGGGGAATCACACTGGGCAAGACAGCAGCAAGGTGAGGGCCACAGAGATGATCTGCGGGCTGGAGCCCCTCTGCTGGGAGGACAGGCTGGGAGAGTTGGGGGGGTTCAGCCTGGAGAAGAGAAGGCCAAAAAGGGGAGAGCTCAGAGCCCCTTCCAGCGCCTAAAGGGGCTCCAGGAGAGCTGGGGAGGGACTTTTTTCCAAGGGCATGGAGTGATAGGACGCGGGGGAATGGCTTCAAACTGGAAGAGGGGAGATTTAGATGAGATGGTAGGAAGAAATTTTTCCCTGTGCGGGTGGTGATCCCCTGGGGCAGGTTGCCCCGAGAAGCTGTGGCTGCCCCATCCCTGGAGGTGTTCAAGGCCAGGTTGGACGGGGCTTGGAGCAACCTGGGCTGGGGGGAGGTGGCCCTGCCCCGGGCAGGGGGGTGGCACGAGTTGATCTTCAGGGTCCCTTCCAACCCAAACCATTCTGTGAAGATAAAAAGTTGAGAAGTTGTGTTGTCTTCAGCCACTTGAGTAGGAATGAAATAGTGTTTAACTTCTTAGGCACAAAGGCTTTTTTCCTATCCTTGCGATTGATTTTGATTCTTTTTTTTTTTTTTTTTAAATCATTTCTTTCTCCAGGAAAACCAATTCTACAAACAATCACAAAGATAAAAACTTACGCCAGAGAAACACAAATTAAAAATGCTGATCATGTAAGTATGACTCGCTTGTCAGGCTAAAGTCCTCCCGTTTCTGTAGTGGTTGGGGTGCGGAAACACATAACCCGTTCCACGGGGGCTGGCGCGAGCCGTCCTGTCCCGCCGCAGGGAGCACCGGGGGTAGCAAAAGATGGCTCTCATAAAATACACAGGCAGTTCAATGATCTGTTGAACTCTACGTAATCACTGCTATTGCTAATTAAAAAAAACCAACCAACCAACCAAACAAACAAAAACAACCACAAAACCCCCAACCCTTCCATATTCAGTGGTAAAATCCGGAAGCTACCCTTGGTTGGGAAGCCGCTCTCTCCGTTTTAGACGGAAAGGGAGGTTAAGCGCTTTGATTGCACACTGTTACGGCACGGGATGTTGGGAACGCTGCCGGGCATTGACTAGCACCTCTTCTCGTTTCTTTTTTAGAGCTTTAAGTTTCTGAGAGACTGATGGCAATATGACCTGCTAAATTTAAGGGTTGGAACTCTTGGTTCTAGAACTCCAGTTCTGTCTGATTTCTTTTTATTTTTCTTTTTTTTTTTCTTTTCCTTTTCAAGTGAGCAACAATATGACTGTCTAAAGCATGCCTTATTTAGCCTCTCCTGTAAGGATGACCTAGCCAGATAAATTTTAATAATGCTTCAGTGTAGAAGGTGTAAACTATTTTGGGCTTGATGTGCTGTGAATGTTGCTTTTATTTTATTTTATTTTATTTTTTAATTTTCCTTAATCTATTTAAAACAGTAGAAGTAGTAAGTCTGTTCACGCATGCGCCATTTTTTACTTCCTGTAGCTGTTAAAAATTTGGCAAAGCTCTAAAACGCACCGCTGCCATCTAGTGAAACTTTTTGTAAAGTACAGCAAAACTTAAAAATATATACAGTATATATTTATATTTTGGGGGAGGGGGAAAACCAAAATACAGTAATTGTGTTTCATTTTGAAGCTGCTGATGTTCATTCCTTACTGTATGTCTGAAAGATGAGAGAATTATACTGTTCTGGTACTTAGAGAAGTAATATAAATTGAAATTATCTTAAGGGCTTAACCTATAGAGAGAGACTCGGGTGTCCTATAATCAGACTTCAAAAGCTGGAATGGTTCGACGTGGTGGTGGAATGCAGTTGAAAACAGAAACAAAACTTCAGTTTATAAATATATATATATGATTGCTTTTTAAGTGATTTTTTTGGGTTTTTTTTTTTTGTTAACTCATGTAAATTCTCAGATCCTTTTGCACTGATGTGTTCAACATATTCTTGTACATTCGATTCAGGCAAACTTTTATAAGTTTTTTTTTTTGTTTGTTTAAATGATGAAATGTTACAGCATGGTGATATTCTATGCAACTAGTTATACTCTTTAGTTTGACACTGTAATTTCTCATGATTTAAAGATTGTAGAAATAGACCTAACAGGGTTCTCATGATGTGCGTAACTGTAGATGCATGAACTTGTGTTCTGTGTATTTGTTGAAGTGCAATGATGTATAAAAAAAAAAGTGGATTCACCTGTTTTTAAAAATAAAACACTGACAAAAAAAAAACCAACCCGAAACGTGTGCAGACTTTTTTCAAACCTTTAATCACACTTAAGCCTGTGTGTCCCGCGTGCTGGGTGTCCCGGAGCATGCATTGCAGTGGGAATTCGCTGCTATTTCTCAGCCGTCTGTGAGTTTTTTCAATTCCTTCTCCACATCTTCCACAAAAGCTGGGAAATTCTGATCCATAAGGCACAAGCGAATGAAGGGCCCCAGCTCCTGCGCGCGCCACGCTGAATGCCGGTACGCAAGGGGGAGCTCAAACGTCTTTTTCAGCACAGACTGCCAAAGTTAAACAACAAAACAAAACAAAAAACCATCAAGGTGTTGCGCCAGTCTTGGACATAAAAGGTAACATTCCACAGGTTTTGTAACCATGCCGCTCCGTCAGAGCTTTCGGCATTTAATAGAGACGCATCTGCCTTGTTAGTAATGCTGACTGAATACTTACTATCACATATGATTTCGGTATGTAATTTTTTCTCTGCTGGCTACCTTTGCTGCCAATACAGCTTTCATGCAACTTTGAGTTCCTCTGCAGTTATTTCAAGCAGAAATGCCTGTTTCCTGGCTAAGGCGGCTTCGCGGGGAAGGTCCGTTCTGCCTAAGAGAAAGGATCCTGTATGGAGCCTGTGTACTGCCACCTGAACCGTGTAAGGATAGCCAAGAACGTGGTTCTAAGCTCTTAATTTAGCAAGATGTCTTTTAGAAGTAAATTATGGGGCTTTTTAAGAGTTAAAACAGCCTTTTCATGCCCATTTAACCCCTTCCCCGGCTTCTTCCCTTAGTGGTGGGCAAAACTGTGTGCATTGTGTCCCTTTTCAGTGTGGCAGCAGAGAGGAAGATGTACGAGGTCCCGTGACAGCCCTGACGCCCCCAGCACCCATAGGCAATGCCGCTATCATCCATTAGGTGCCCTGGAGAACCGCACGGGTCTCATGGACCGGTAGGTTATTGGGCAGTGCTCTCCGTGCTGCTGTTCCTGTGACAACACGCTGAAGCGGCTCCATTAAAACTTTCTCGTGGCAGGCTGCCCGCTTTCCTGCTGGATGTCGGCCGCGTTAAAAGGAACGGGAACTTCACAGTTCAAAGGCCCCGCTGCAGCCAGGGCTGCTGCTCAGTGTGAACCGCGTTATTATGCTACGCGTTAATTACTTGAGTGTTTGTACCAATTTTTTTCCACTGTTTGGGCTGCAAATGTTCTATAGACCTCACCGCCCACTCAGCCTTTAACTTTCTCTACCCGTCTGTCATTAAAGCTGCATCAGTTACGGATGCTTTTTGGATACTTTGCAGGGGGAGAGCAGAGGGAAAGGAAATCACTGCAGCAGCGCTTTTGTGATGAGTGAGGTAGGTATGACGCGCAGAGGTGATCCAAGGTGAATGGCGTCATTGCTAGTTAGGCTGGATCTGGCTTTAGAAAAAACCTTCACAGGCCTACTCGGGCCTTTTTTTTTGATGCACCGATGTGAGAGGTGCAGGCAAAACCAAGCTTTTCCATCTGGGAAAGGCAGGATTGTTGTTGAGCTCAGTCAGGCCTGAGCTTCTGCTGCTTCAACCTGAAAGGGTGTAAGACAGCTGGCAGAGGGCCCGGGCACGCTGACAGCCAGGGCACAGCTGTGCTTCACTTGTGAGGAGGAAAATAAAACATCCACCTTTAACATTTTTGCTAATCTTAACTGTTGGTTCACATGGCGGTGTTGCTCTTTTCCTGGGTCATGCCGCAGTCTTGACTGGAGAAAAATGTCTTTAAACACAAAGTGAAGACTGTGGAGTGTCTTTAAAAAAAAAAAAAACCAAACCTGGAAGAAAATGCTTGAAACCAGTGCTTCTGCTAGCTTCCTGAAGGGGTGGAAATGGGGACTCGCAGAGCACCAGCTGCAAAGGGTTTGTTTCTGAAGTGCAAGTGGGGAAAAGAAGTTCAGGCCTGAGCCACCTTTGTATGGCAAGCCCGAGGGCCAGGGCACCGGAGACCCCAGCTCAGGGCAGCTGGGTTTCAGCTGATGAAGAAGTAGAGGGGCAAGTAGAAGAGGAGGCAGGAAACTACCACACCAAGGAGTGTCTGTGCCAGGGAGTTGGTTTGTAATTCAAGTGAGAGATGGATCGGTGGGTAGAGCAAATACAGGCCTCGCCAGCAGCAAGCTTTGCGCAGAAGCAGGTACCATGCCCTTGCCTTATACAGGGACCAAAAAATAGCAGGTTTTAGAAACTAAGTTCTTTTATCATGTTGCTGTTAATTTACATTTCCTACTATTGCCTCATAAAGCAGAAACTGGTCACGAAAAATACAGCTGCTGAAGGCAAAGTGCCTTGTTTGATCACTCCTGCTTGTTGATGCACTCTGGTTGCGTTGTACAAGGACAGTTAACAAAAGCGCTGGGAAGGAAACAGCAGGGAGCGTAATACAGCGCTCCCCACTGCGAGGAGGGTACAGGGAGCTCTGCTTTCTGAAAACAGGTGTTTAACGGGCTTTGGATGACAGATTTGTAATCGGGAGCGTAGGAACTGTCCCCTGTACCACTGATGGGAAGAAACACCGCCTTCATCATCCTGTCACTACAGAAAGTCGGGTAAGACAGACCCGCTGGGAACCCACAGAAGCAGCCGCACAAAACCAAGAGGTTGGGAAGAGGAGTTTTCTCCCCAGTCATCTGGTTCTGTACAGTCCCAAACTCACAGTAAACGAGTAACAAACTGCCCATTATTTTTAAACACAGCTTTACCCTGGACTTCTGAGTTAAACTGTCGATTGAATGATGGGATCTTTTGCTGTGGGTCAAAGGTGATTGGTGTTTTCAGACTTAAGTGATGACTGCAGAAGTCATTTCTGCAGTCAGATTGCCAAAGCCATTTATTTGGATGAGACCTCCGGGTATTTGTTTGCTGGCAGTGCGTGCTTCATTCTTATGCAAATGGGGTAATTAAATACCTGGGTTTGAGCTTACTTCCTAGCTCCAGATCATTACACAAGATCCTGTGGTTTTGTTGGTAGAGATGATGGCATCCTGATGTTCAGTGAAGACATTTACCGGGCGTTAAAAGCATAGGAGACAGCTTGCTCTCTCGCCATGCACGACAGATTTAGTTACAGGATCTAAATATTAGATTTGATTATATTTTTTTTTTACCTGCGCTAGCTGGGTTACAGATCTTCTTTCTCCAAGGCTGACGCAGGAATCTGCGAGAAGTTCATCTGGCTAGAAAATATCAAATGCAAATAAGGGCTTGTTACCAAGCAGAGTGTGGGTATGTGCAAGAAGGGAAGTCGTTCCGTTTTTAGAGATATGGGGAAGGGAATGTGCTCAGCTACCTTATGCGGTAAAAAGGCATCTTTTTATGGAACCTGAATGCACATCTGCTCAAGTCTTTAAAAATGAAAGACATGAAATAATGGGCCTGTAGTTAAAACTGTCATGTCTAAACTAAGATTACTTTTAAACTACTTACTGGAAGTCACTTTAAAAAATGCAGTGTGTGAACGCTCACCAGGAGCAGTTTTCCTTCCCGTGGGTCACATCACTGAAAAACATGGCTTAAATTGTCAATTGTATTTTCTGAGCCAGGTTTTCAGTCTTAACTTCTGGAGCACCAACATGATCGGGAAACGAGCAAAGCCTAAAGTATAGGTAATCTGCTTAAAAGAACAAACAAATCTTGAGTATCAGCTGTTGAAGGACTCCTATGTGCCTTCATGGAAATGGTGTGAGTTCAATTAGTGATATTTTATTTCCCCCCCCTGCACTTTCTCTAACAAATGTCATTCCACTGTCCAGCAGAGTAGGACTTTCCTAGTCCTATCATGGAAATGAGGCAGCTGAAAACTTTGATGTTTCTTTTCAGGCCTCAGTCTCGGTCCCAATACTTTTATCACGTTACCCAAGAGCTATCCAGGCTAAGTTAACTGCAGGGCTGTTTTTTTAGAGCTGGTAAATGTGATCCTCTGGATAACCAAGAGAGCATATATTTAAGAATTAGTCGCCCTCAGAAACACTATCTGCCTTTGCACCGTTTCCATTTACCTTACATCTTTGTCTTGGCGAGGGGAAACATTCTGTTCCTCCCCCAAAATTGCTTTTACATGTGTCAGGTTAAGCTCAAATAGATACAATTGCATATTTACAATTACTAACACTGCAAACAGGAGTAGGTAGTAAATGCCAAAAGGAGAACACAATTCCTGGTTATTTAAAAGACTCTTATCATTTTTCTTACCCTGTGTAATTTATTGGAAAATCTGCCAGGTGGTTCCCAGCAGTCTTAGCTGAAATCCACACAGATGAAATTGTAGACATGTTTTTTTGATAACTATTGAGCTCTCATCCTCTGCCCCTGCTCCTGTTTATTAAATCTCAGCAGAAAGCATCCGAGTCTTCCAGCAAACCATACTACCATCTGATTGGGAATTGGTAAATAACGCTTGCCTGTAGCATTTGCAGCCACTTCTTTTTAACAGTCAGTGCCTGCCTAGGTTTGCCTGAGCCCTGCATCAATTGTTCTCATCATCTCCAGGCTCCCTAGCTAAGGAAGAGTTCAAAACCCAGAGCAAAGCTTTTTTCTTCCCTCCACCTATAAATCTCATTCCATAAAACTGCTAATATGATCACATGAAATATGTATATTAATTTTGGCTATTAGTGACCTCAACGAGGGCATCTGATTGCTCTGAGATATGTTACAATACGCTTGAGGAGCCAGAACCACATTTTTGAGCATTGTTCTGTTAACTTTTTTTGAGGTACACTAAGAGAATGGGAAGACGACAGCCAGCTTCAGCGGCTGACTTCCCAAATAACTCTAGCCCTGTTCAATAACTAGGTTTCCCTGCACGTAAACTGAAGTTTGGGTTTCCCAAATTCTCTTTTGTATAGATGGTCTCACAGTTGCAAGAAACTTTCTTCAGAAGTAAAATTTGTCATTTACAATCTAACACTAATAGTTGATTAATTTTCTATTTTTCTGTTGATATGTTCTTGCTTTCTTACTGTATGCCGTACTGATGCATTTTGTTCAGTGTCCTTCACTTGATGTTCACCAGTAGCCAGCTGATCCAGACTGTGGTAGAGCTTCTGGCTTTGTTCATCAGGTACTTCAACCGGTACGTACTCCGCAAGTTTCTGAACGCAACTGCAGCAGTGTTCCAGCGTCTGTTCCTTTGAATCTCCACCAAACTGAACACGAAACATGCGGCTTTCATTCTGCTCAGAAACCAAAGAGAAATGAAATTAACTGTCAATCCCCTCAAACTATTTTGATTTAATTGAATTCCTATTTGTTATAGTTAGGAAAAAGGTGATTAATTTTTGGATCGCTGCACCAACTTAAATGCAAAGTTTTCCCTGCTGTATCTTCATTTATCCCAGCAGCTAAACCACAGGAGTGTGATTCCCAGTTTGAAAACTAGTTAAAAAGCCCAAGGAAATGGTAAGTGAACAGGGCCACTTGTGAACGAATTGAAAGGTCCAGCCAAGTGAACAAACTTTGCCCCGACAACAGTTTTTCACAAGTATAGCAGGGAAATTCAGTTCTTATCCATAAGGATATGCCAACTCTGAACAGTTATTTGTGACCAAAACCGAAATGACACTAAAGTAAGCGTATGTCAACTTTGAAATCTAAACTAAAAGTTCTGGGAACTGTATGTTCCATTTAGGATTTATGTTACTGTCTGCATCAGACCCAGCCTTACCTACCTACCTGGTCTGCCTGTGCGTAGCTAAATATACAAATTCAGTTTGGCACTCCAACTGAATGCTGCTGCTCCTTGAGTAGATGCTAACACAGTTGATTAGGAGTGCAAGAAACTCAAATGCATTATGTCAGTGAAATAATACTAAAAATAAAAAAAAAAAACCCACCTGGCTAGAACTGACCCCCAGTATAGGTTGTTGGGCTGCACCATAATAGATATTTTTTAAGTACATGAGGTCCAGCAAACTGCCCTGAAAATGGAGGGCTGGAGAGTCTGTCGTGCATGATAAGCCTGTCCGAAGCACATTCAGCTGATGGAAGGCAGGTACGTACCGAATGCTCTTGTTCAGGGTCTGAATTAAGGGGACTTTCAGTTTGATGTTGGAATTTCAAATTTAAAGCACAGTTAAATTATTAGAAAAGAAGCAAGTTTTCCTTGGACCGATGTAGCTCATTTGAGTCTTCATCTTTCTGAGATTTCAATGTCAAAACTGTTTTTTTAATGACTAGGCACACTGCTAGAGTGCTGATTACACAAATACAAGGACATCTTTCACTTTCAAGATTTTTGTCTTAAAGATGAGCCAGCTCTTCATGACAGCCTGTATGTTTACATGCATGTTATTTTAAGACACTTGTATTGCATAAAATGATTTTTAGGACATTGTAAGCATAAAAGCTTGTCTCAGTGCCTTTTATAGGGAAGAAACGTCAAAATAATTCAAACCGTAGCCCTCATTTTACCAGTGCCCAGTTACGTTTCCTCTAATTAACTAAGATGTCAACTTAACTGGGTCAGCTTCACGTAACCGAGAACTGATTCGTGGATATGCCAGACAGGTGAGTTCTCGTTAAAATGACAGAAAGGTAACTCGCATCTTAATTTGAATTCCTTTTGGAGACTTTCAAAGAACACTTGTTTTAGTTACCCCTACAGTCCCTATATACATTTTCAGTCTGAGCTATCTGTATTGCCCTCTGCTTTTTCATAAGGAATGTTAAATAATTAGGACTGCAGTTTATAAGCACCGATAGACTTTGTAAATTACACATTTTTCCTGTATGGAAAGAGAGAGAGCACTCAAATTCAGCTAAGATGATGTCAAGTTTTAGCATAAACCGAGTACTGGGCAGTAGTACCTGAGCCATACAAAAGCTGAAATATTAAAGAACCTTGAGGTCACTTGGATCATCAAATTTGCACCTCCTCCCTTGCCGGGGCTGGGCTCAATGAAAACAGTATGAAGGGAAATCACGTACTACAAGAATATTAAGAACATTTATTCTTGCTACTACTTACAGATCGTTTCATATAACAAAGTTTTTATACACAGAGGCACATCAAAGACTAATGTGAGATAAGTGATTACTAGAGATGGAGCCGTATAAAGGGCAGTGACAGCCAAGCAGCTGGTTCTTTCAGCAAAGTGTAAGACACAAGCGTGCATCGGACAGGTACGGCTTCAGAATTAGACACTCGTGTACTGCACTGAATAAAATTGCCACTAGCATAGCTGAGTTTCAATAGTGATCTGCGACAGGTACCTTCTCTACGTGTCTTTTTCCTTTAAGTATATAGCACTAAGCTTCTCAAAATATAGTTTAGAAACTCATTCTGCTAGCTGAAAATCCGCAATGCCCCGTTAAAGTAATATTTATAAGGAAATCAGTACGTTTTGCTATAAATGCAATACTAATGACTTACAAAAAAGCATCAGTTAACATTCGCTCAGTTTCTTCTGAAGTACATGATCCCCGTGATTAACCTCCATGTTTCTTTAACATGGATTATTCTATAATTGCAAAGAAGGTAACATGCAGCAAAAAAGGCAAGCACAGGAAAGAAAGAAAATAACTGAAACCAGTAAAGCAAGGAAATAAGAGCACAAGGTAAATCAGAAATGATAGCGTAATGTTTAATTGTGCGTGTCCCTTAGTTGCCCTGTGCACTCAGATATAGGAACTGGGTTTTGAAAACCTAGCTCGCTTTCCTCTGCTTCAATGGCTTCTCCTTGACTCCTTCCTTCCTTAGGTCTACCAGGGTTGAGACATAACCCCTTACATGGTGTGGCTGGCTTTCTGAATGTTTTAAAATATTTTTGAAGATTAGCCCGGAAGCTATATACACTGACAGCATTTAAAGGATCACTTCAGCTACTATTTAGCATACGAAGTGGAGAAACTGTATGATAGGACCACTGCAGAGCCACTAAATCCAGTTTAACTAATTTATGGTAAGTAAACATGTAGAGGCACCAAATTAATTTAAGACTATGTTAATATTCCTCCTCTTCTGAACTGTCCCTCAGAGCTTTTGTTCAAGCCTCAAAGCGATTGTGATGTTGATTTTATGTTTCTTGTGAGATGCAGCAGAAATCCCTTAATGCTGTGCTGGGCAGCGGGTTCTGTTAACTGTAAAGGAAACTGATAATCTACCGATTCATCAGAACTAATTACTGCAACAGCTCGATAGTCTTCTTCAGTGATACTCCATATTTTGTAAGAATCTGACAAAAATCAGAGAGCAAAGGTGTTTTGGTTTCAGGCAAGCATAACCCATGAATTTAAAACAGTTCAAGATACTTGCTTACGCAGTTCCTAGTGCCACCATTAGACTAGGCTTATTCTGAAACAAGATGAGTCCTTATATTTAAATAATGTTTATTATGCCTCACATCTACTTTTATCCTGCAATTAGCAAGGCATTCTCTCCTCTGCAAACCAGATTCTTTGGTTTGTAACATCCTGTAAAGAAATACCTATGTCTTTCATAAAAGAAATCGGATAATAGATCAAAATACAACTGAAGAGGAATTTTTACAGTTTTCAGCTACTCTGGATATTGATATTATCTGCAATCACAATAGCCCAGTCTGTATCAGAGTTCCTGTCAGGGGAGAATGACAGAACAGCTCAGGATACCTGAGATGGTTTTATGCCTTACTAGTTTTGTGAACTGCGCCAAGAGTTAAAACAAGGGGCTCATCCTCTTTTTCCAGAATTCCTGTTTCTACCTTAGAGATGAATTCTCTTGTTAAGCAGAGATAGTTAAACTGGAGTCAGCTGTTTCTGCTGAAACAACAAAGCCTAAGAAAGCATCAAGGGAGAAGGGAGAGGTCTTATTTCGAAACAGGCTTTGTTTCTGAAAAACCAGGTGAGTGCTTAGTGTAGATGAGTAAGAAACTTCTTGGGGTTTATCTAAGAACCGAAACACTGAGATTTATACTTAAGTTGGTAACAAGCAAGTGCCATTTAATTATTTAAAGGCTATCCAACCATTTTTCATGAGATCTGAGGAGAAGACCAGAAATCTAGGTCCCCTTCATTGCCCTTCAATACCAAATGCCTGAATCACCAGCCTGCCACTACTCTGCCAGGTGTCAGGGGCCACAAAATGGCCAAATAATTGTTTGCTTAGATATTTGCTTGCCGAAGTGAAGTATGACTCATAGGTAGCATGCTTCTGTACATGCAAGAGAATCGCTTCATCTTTTTAATTGTTAGCCACGGCAGATGGATTCGAAAATAAACATCAGTCTAGCTGTTTTAGTAGCTAACTCTCAGAAAGCAGTCTAAAAGACTTGAATATTAGCAGTTACAAAAGACATTAAGGTGATTCAATCCATTGTTTAATATCTAGAGTGAAAACCAACCCCTTTTAATTTATGTAGGCAATTTACAGTATCTCAGAACTTCTGGTTTAATTTATGCAGTATTAAGAAATCTTATACAGAAGTGTGTTAGCTATTGAAATATTAAAAGCAACTCAACTTACCTTTGACTGTGCACAAAGCAGCAGGCAGTCTGCTCTTCTTACTATCTTTAACCACTTGTGGGAATCAATTAATGAAAAGCCTTCCTGAAATAAAGCAGAACACAAAATACTTGCACAGCACACACGCAACACTCAGAAGTACACACAAGTTATGTAATTTAATCCCCGATGAAGATTTGTTATCTGCTTATGTGCATCTTTTCTATCTGTCAAACAATTGCTTATATGTAGTTTTTACCACACTAGGAATTAAATGTAAATCTGTAGCTCCAGTGACACCACTATTGCAAAGTACATTCTAATTTCCATATATGATTTCCATTTATATCGGTGCACGTTAGGAAAGTCTCTATGAAATGCGTAACAAACCAGCTGCATCAGAGCACTTTAAATTCTTCCGCATCCCATGAAGTTGCCCGAGAGGGCAGCAGAGGGCAGGCAAACCTGAAGAATGGGACAGCAGCTGGTTTATCGAAGGCCCAGAGAGGCATTTTCTCCAGATGGAATTGAGGTAAACAAGCAGCAGCTTCGATAACTTGATAAAGATGTTTTTATATACTCCAGTTGTGTTAACTGTCAGTCTCTTCAAACAAGACAGACTGCTCAGAATTCTGTGAAAATACCCCTGAAAACTGAAAACATGATATAAAAATAGCAAGGCAATGGACTGTGTCTCCCCAGGTACTTCCCACAGACTGCCACATAGTCATTAGTTAGTCTAATGACCAACTTGGGGGTGGGGGGGAACACAAATTTAAGGGCAGGAAAGAAATTACCAACCTGTTTTATCTGAACTCATAACGCTTTCAATGACTGTGGCTTTTTGCACAAGCTGCTTTTTATAGGCCTCCAAAGGGTCAAGAACCACAAGTCACGTCCATCCTGGACCACCAGCAGTGTGTTTTTGCCAGTTACTATCCATCTTACGCAGGTCCAGGCTGGGAAACCATCTGCCATTCTATTTTGATACAAGAAGCCACCTTGGTAAGACACTGCCCTCTTAGTGTGCTGGCACTGGCTTTATAGTCTCATACAGCAATTGCACGTAGATTTTTTAACTGAACTTTTACGAGAGGGAACGTCTAGGAAGCACTGAAGAGTTGAACCAAAGGCAAACTGGGTCACAGACACGCAGCTGATCAGACACCTGCTATGACAGACTCCCGCGTGTACGATGGCATGCAAGTATCATTCCCAAAAGGTCTGGGGTCAGAGGGAGAAAATAATTTCCCCCTGCACTGCAGAAACAGGGGGTGACAACAGGTAAGATGGGCCAGTCACGTGCAGAGTGTCTGTCCGCACTCAAAATGTCTTAAGGTAGGAGTTGCTGGAGTACGAAAGGCCTCAAGAATAGGAAGTCCTCACTTTGTGCCTGATGCTCTTACAGGAATTAGTAAAGGAATCTGGATCCTAAGAGGGACAAACTGCAAATGATAGACTTTGCAACAGAAAATGGTATCTTTCTTGGCAAGTGCGTGTTCTCTGGCGATACTACATGATGCAATTAGCCTGCTGAAGCAGCGGAGCAGGAGGCTGGGTCCAGCACACGTACAGACAGACTCCTCTTGGATGTCACATAGCAGGAAGTCTCTGAAGGTCAGTTTGTCACATAGTCTGAATTCACACGTGAGGCAGTAAAGGAAGCCTGTGAAATACCCTTTACTCCTCTGTACACCTGGCATTTTGGCACCCCTGGGTTTGGGGGGTGCAGTTTTGTCTTGTGTATCAAAAGAGACTTGAAGTTTGGGATGTGGACATTAAAGTTGGGGGGGCGGATAAAGGAGGGGGAGAAGATACTAAGAAGAATGCTTGAGGAACAAGAGGAGATTAGTAGGTTAAGAAAAGAACGAGCACTGTTAGAACATTTCTAGAATAATGAATAGCACTTCTCATGCCATATTATCAATTGCATGGTAGAATATATTACTTTGAAATTTGGCTACAGGCATCCATAGCTGTGCAGAGTTTGGCCCCAAAATATTGTTTAAGGCTGAAAATGGAAAAGCATCAGCAAGTTACGCTAGCGACTGTGCGCAGCAGAAAGTTATGTCAGAAGTCAAGAAATTTCAGTCATGTCAACATCACGGAAATAGCGAGCAGCGTCTGCAACAGCAAAAAAATCCACATTAATTGTGCATGTGTACTGCAAAGAGGTCTTAGTACATGGCTGTACAAAATACACAAATGCAGATTTGTTTTGTGTACACGAGGAGTACTTTAGAGGAGACGTGGAGTGACATCCATCCACGATGCTTATCAGCTTGTGCTGCCACAGTTGCTAGAAGGGATCCACTGAAGAAGTAAGCAAAGAAAACCGAATTGAAGTTAGAGGAGTAAGGTACGGCCAGCTGCATTCAAGAAGGGAAACAACTGGTTGCAGAAAACATACATAGTGCAGAAAAGTTTGAATGGGGCAACGGATGGGCTCTCAAGTCAGAACAGAGAGAAAGATGGAGTATGTAGAACTGGAATATATAAAGCAGAAAAAATATTTTAAACTGTCCCTACCAGAAAGGGTATATTCTTGATGTTTCTACAAATAATCTGAAAGTAACTGTTCTCACTGTTTGGGGTGAATTTATATTTATTTTTGTGGAATAACCACAAACGAACATAAGGTGGATTTCCTCTCGGCACAAAGACTTATTTCTCTTATTTAAAGTTGTAAATGTTGGACATCTTTTAACATACTTACATTGAGGGGAATATCCATACCTTCTCAAAACACACAGGCCAGTTCAGAACTGCTCATTCTGGATAGGCAGCCAGGCTGAGTCCTGGACAACCAGGACATGATTTGTGTTGCAGTATGACAGCTGCCTGTGCTTACACGCATAGTGCTTCCTGCCACAGGGAATTTCTCCACCGCCACTTGGTCTTCCTCCGACTCCACTACCAAGCCCCAAAATGCTGTTAGTGAAGCAAATCCAGGATCTCCTGCTTTCACGAGGCCACTTTAACTTGTGGCCACTTCTGCTTACTCTGTTAATTCCAAACAGTGACTGTTTTTAATACACACCAACTGTGTTTATTTAAATATAGCTGTTCCCACATTAAGTCTATTTTTATAGTGTTTTTCCTTTCACTGTAAGATGTAGGTTGAACAAATGTTGTCTCCTTAAAATAATAGCTGGTTTCAAAGAAATCATAAAAGGCAGCCAATGTTTAACTTTCCTACCAACTATTTTATTGATGTTTCCCAGGTTGTCATCCTTTTATATGTCCCGTTTCTGAGGTAAAGCAAGCTGGAAAAAAAACAGCATTTAGAATTTTTATTTATGTACTCCTAATTATTCAATTCCAACCCCAAAATTTGATTAAATGAAATGTCATTTACTTCAAGTTTAATTAACTGAAGAACAACGCAGAAAGTATTTCCTTTCCTCTTGCACCTTTGGTTGATTGTATATTGCCAAGCAGAAACAAATAACTAAGAATAGCTAAACCAAATAGAAAAACTCAGCGCAGTACTTGAGCAGTACAAACCAGACCTGATTTGGCACAAGCAAGCTACCTGAAAAAGGAGAGGGAATGTTTTAGAGAAACTCAGGTCTGCAGAACTCCATCGTTAAATGGTTTACATCAGTAATTATCATTACAGTCAGGATCCTCTGGATTTTCCTCAGTTCTAAGCAGTAAATAAGCCTGATTTTGCACTGTGTTGAGCTCTACTCTGTTCCTCGTGGCTTTTCCATGTTACCTTAGTCAGCACAGGCTGACAATTAAGACAAAAAAAGATTCTTCTTAACAGTAACAATTCTCTCTTTTGTTCAACAATGAAATAGTTATGAGTCTGCATATGAAGTTAGGTAAATGAATTCAGAGCAACAAGAAGGAAGACTATAATACATCTGTCCCTTGTTCCATCGCTTGAAGTCGAGAGGATCTCTGCCAACATCCAGGAGCTACGTGTGGGGTAGGTCCTGGAAACTGCATGGCACTGTATTGAGATTGTAATCCATTTGTGCCTTTCTAGACATAATGAATTGACTCTAAAGCTGCTCTGGATGTACGCACTGACAAAGAAAAAAAGTAGTAGTCCCTGCAGATTGCTGCTGCCACCACGCTGACAGAAATACAGATAACAAAGCAGCTGTGGTCAGTGTTCCCCTTGAGCAGGCACCATCCATAGGTGCTTTACGTTCAGAGTTGGGCACTGCTGAGCAGTTATCAGGCATGAGCAGAGACAGATGGCAGTAGAAGACTATCTGGAATATAGACAAAAAGGCAACTTGGAACTGGGCAGGAACATAAGGCCTCAAATGTCTACAATTTGAAGAGATAAATGGCAGCGCTTTCTTAAGTTTGATCATTAACGGTCAATCATGCATATACTCCTTATGTCATTCTCCCGGATGATACTTGTAAGTATCATCTTGTAAGAACACTGTATTAAAGGAAAACAGTTTCATACATCTCTGACAAGAATCAAAGTCTCTCAGAGGGAGGTCCTTGAAAGGAATTAAGCTGAAGCAGAAAACAAAGCAAGACATTTCCCAAACATTTTGGTAGCAGGCAAGATGTGACCACACCTTATACGAGGCCACAAAGCCAATGCTGGTCCAGCCTTACAGCCATCTAGTCTGTCATTAATTTGGAAATACTTTTGTTCTGATTTTACATTTCAGTGTTCAAAAAGCTGCTGGATAATGAGGCCTGTGATCTATGTTGGAAGGTATTGCGTGTTATTTATGAGTATATTTATTATTGTTTCATCTAGAAACCCCGTGGTGCTAAGCAACATACGAACACAGGAACAGATTATGTTAGATTGCAAGGCCTTTAGGCAACCCTATCAACTAAAAATTAGTATATATTTAAGAAGTGTTATTTGTGTAACAGTTCAGCTATGCTGGCTTGCATCAATTAGTTTGGATTCACTCATTCATGAGACAGATGTTTTCAAACGAAACAACAGCTTAGGAAGAAAAACTTTCTTTTTGCAACAAACAATATATACTCTGCCCTTAAATTACAACCAATATTAAAAAAGACAAACAAAACCCCAGAATGCCACACACACAGACACACGTTCTCCAGTTTTGGCTGCCACTTATGCAAATACTCATGAAATGCAAATAAAA